CTTATTTTTCTTAACTCCATTATAAAGTGTAAAAATATGGAATGCTTCACGAATTTGCGTGTCATCTTTGCACAGGGGCCATGCTAATCTTCTCTGTATTGTTCCAATTTTAGTGTATGTGCTGCCGAAGCGAGCACCCTTCCATCTTCTCTTGATGCTTTTGGCATCATTCAATAATTTGCCCAGAGAATGTTTCAATAAAGAAAGTCAAGGCTTGAATTTTTTTTCTTCAATTCCCCCAGCTTGAGAAATGTTGAGTCTTTTCTTCCTGTTTGCTTTTCTGATTCCAGATCTTTGCACATTTTATTGTAATATTTGGCTTTATGTTTTCGAGTTGGCCTTTGAAATTTTCTGTTCAGCTCTTGTACCTCCTCTTTTCTTCCATTTGCCTTAGCATCTCTACACTAGAGAGAAAGTTTCAGTGTCTCCTCTGACATCCATTTTGAACTTTTCCTTCTTTCTTGTCTTCTTAATGACTTTTTGCTTTCTTCATGTATGATGGTCTTAATGTCATCCTACAACTCTTCTGGTCTTCAGTCTTTAGTGTTTAATGTATCAAATCTGTTATTCAGATGATCCCTAAATTCAGGAGGGATATATTCAAGGTCATATTTTGGCTCTCATGGACTTTTCATTTTCTTCCGCTTCAGTTTGAATTTGCATATGAGTAATTGATGGTCTGTTGCACAATCTGCCCCTGACCTTGTTTTGACTGATGATATGGAGCTTTTCCATCATCTCTTTCTGCAGATGTAGTCAATTTAATTTCTATGTATTCCATCTGGTGAGGTCCACATGTATAGTCGTCTCTTATGCTGACTCAAGAAGGTATTTGAAATGAACAAATAATTGATTTTGAAGAATTCTATCATGTGTTCTCCAGCATCATTTCTATCATCAAGGCCATATTTTCCAACTACTGATCCTTCCTCTTTGCTCACAACCTTTGCATTCCAATCACCAATAATGATCAATACATCTTAATTGCATGCTTGATCAATTTCAGATTGAAGAAGTTGGTAGAATTCTTCTATTTCATCCTCACTGGCTTTAGTGGTTGGTGCATAAGTTTGAATAATAGTGGTATTAACTGGGCTTCCCTATCTCAGACAGTGTTGTATCTCATGACTAATCTGGATATGTTCTTATTGACAATGAATGTAACACCATTCCTCTTCAATTTGCAATTCCCAGCGTAGTAAACCATGTGGTCATCAGATTCAAAATGGCCAATACCAGTCCATTTCAGCTTACTATTGCCCAAGATATCGATGTTTATGTGTTCCCTTTCATTTTTGACAACTTCCAGTTTCCCCAGATTCATACTTCATACATTCCATGTTCTGATTTTCAGTGGATGTTTACAGCTGTTTTCTTCATTTTGAGTTGTGCCCCATTAGTAACTGAAGGTCCCACGGGCTTTTCTCCCATGGGCTTTACTCCATTCGCATCGTCACGGTCAACTCCACTTTGAGGACACAGCCCTTCCCCAGTAGCATTTTGAGTGACTTCCAACCTGAGGGGCTCATTTTCCAGCACTATATATGACAGTGTTGCTCTGCTATTCATAGGTTTTCAGTGACTAAGTATTTGGAAGTAGTTTGTCACTCCTTCTTCCTAGTCTGTCTTTGTCTGGAAGCTCATCTGAAACCTGTCCACCATGGGTAACCCTATTTAAAATACCAGTGGCATAGCTTCCAGAACCACAGCAACTCACAAGCCACCATAGTACCACAAACTGACAGATGTGTGGTGGTAAAGTTTTACTAAATGTAATACAGAAACAGCTGCAAGCATATATTGACAGAGAACTTCCAGAAGTTCAAGACGGATTCAGAAGAGTCCGGATTCAGAAGAGTCCGTGGAATGAGCGATATCATTGCTGATGTCCAATGGATCTTTGCTGAAAGCAGAGATTATCAGAAAGATGTTTACCTGTACTTTATTGACTACACAAAGTCTTTCAATTGTGTGGATCATGACAAACTATGGACAACATTGCGAAGTATCAGTATTCCAGAACACTTAACTGTGCTTATGAGGTATCTGTACCTGGACCAAGAGGCAGTTGTTTGAAAAGAACATGGGAACACTTAGTGGTTTAAAATTAAGAAAGGTGTGTGACAAGATTCTGTTCTTTCACCATACATTATTCAACCTGTATGCTGAGCAAATCATCCAAGAAGCTGGGTTATATGAAAAAAAAAACCGTGGCATCAGGATTGAAGGAAGACTCATTAACAACCTGCGATAAGCAGATGATACAGCCTTGCTTGATGAAAGTGAAGAGGACTTAAAACATTTAGTGATGAAGATCAAAGAGCACAGCCTTCAGTATGGATTGCATCTCAATGTAAAGGAAACAAAAATCCTCACCACTGGACCAATAAACAACATTCTTATCAATGGAGAAAAGATTGAAGTTGTCAAGGACTTCATTCTCCTTGGATCAACTATGAACACTCATGGAAGCAGCAGTCAAGAAATCAAACAACATATTGCATTAGGCAAATCTGCTGCACGAGACCTTTTTAAAATGTTGACAAGCAAAGATGTCAGCTTGAAGACTAAGTTGTGCCTGACCCAAGCCATGGTATTTTCAGTAACCTCATATGCATGTGGTCATCAGATTGATGAATTGATGCTTTTGAGTTATGGTGTTGGAGAATATTGAAAGTGCCATGAGCTGCCCAAAGAACCAATAGATCCGTTTTGAAGAAGTGCAGCCAGAGTGCTCCTTGGAGGCCAAGATGGCCAAACTTCGTCTCTCATACTTCGGACATGTTGTCAGGAGGCACCAGTTGCTGGAGAAGGATATCATGTTGGTAAGGTGGAGGGTCAGAGAATAAGAGAAAGACACCCTACCCCGTTCCCCCGCCCCGCAACAAGATGTATTGGTCAAGTGGCAGCATCAATGGACTCAAGTGTGGCAACAGTAGTGAGGTTGGCTCAGAATCAGGCCATGTTTCATTCTGCTGTGCATAAGGTCACTATGAGTCGGTACTGACTTGATGGCACCTAACAACAACTATACTTATGGGTATGGGCAACTTCGACATTGGCTACCCAAAATGGGGTGGGGGAAGAGCTGTAAAGGCCAGAAGTGACTGGCTTACAAGTTTTCAAGAGGGATCCTAGTTCCAGACATGGTGGGGGAGAGTAGAATCTCCACTAAATGATTTCCAATCTGTTGGGATGGGGCTAGAGAAAGGAAATGGGGATAAGTCTCTTGTGAATCACAATAGTGAATACTTGCCATCAGGACTGACTGTGAGGGTAGGAAATATAGAGGTAGATGTTTTTTGACAAAAGGAGGGGAGTGATTGATTTTGTAGCCCAGGCACGGAGGTCCCTGGGACCATCAAGTTAAGAAGACTGGAGAGTGGGACCCTACCCAGAGAGGCAGAGATGCCAGGGATGGAGGCAGAGATGATGACGTAGACAGATGAAGCAGCTGGTGACACTGGACTCAGGTAGGGAGAGGGACTGTGTGCTGACGGCCGTGGACATGGACCATCGGGGTGTACCCTTTGGTTATTTGGTGATGCATGGAAGGGACTGTAATTATTGCAATGAAACGAAATATGATAGTATGAATGTAAAACTGATATTCTTCCATGTAAACCTCACAGTAAAAACTTATTGAAAACAAAAATAAATGGAAGATAACGTCTTTAAAAAAAAAAGCCTTATATGGCCCAGCATCGAATGGCTGCAAAACACCTTGCCCTCAGTCAGCTGAGCGCCAGCTAGTGGTAGCTGGAGACTCTCATGGATGAAGGGAGTTCTTGCCTTCCCTGTTTGTCCTGGTGGCCAGCCACCCATTCAAAGAAAGGGCATTGTTTGAGGCTACAGCGTCCAAGGACAGACACCTCCCTCCCTGATGTCCTTGAGAATCTACCAATCTAGCTGCTAGACCTGAACTCATTTGTGGTGCACTGAGAGTCTCACAGGATTGTATCAGAGCCTCCCCTAGGATCAAGCCTATGGGTGTGTTGTCTCCCTGACACCTTCAACATTCTAGGAGATGTGATCATTTATTAAGGAAAGGAAAAAAATAGTGCTCACAACTCAGTCATTATATCATAGATATCTGTCACAGTTAAATTCCATAAACTCATGCCAATCACACTAACTGAAAAACTGCAAAGTTTTAAGGACCTTGGAATTCTGTTAGCCTTGGTTGATGTTGTTAAGTGCTGTTGAGTCAGTTCCAAGTCACAGCAACCCTGTACAGGGTTTCCGATGAGCAACACCTCATTACAATCCAGTATAAGGTTTGTGAGGAGCAGCACATCAGAAGTCCTTTGTTAGTCTTTGTTGTTGTAAAGTACCACTGAGTTGGTTCCGACCCATAGCAACCCTGCATAGGGTTACCTAGGAGTGGCTGGTGAGCTTGAATTGCCGGTGTTGTGGTTCAAACAACCTTGCAGTCCAGTGTATTAACCCACAGCACAACACCAATCTAGCTCCCTCATTCTACAAAAGGAGAAAATACATCCTGGACTCACAGCAACTGACTCAGATCGAAAAGAATCAATACTGAGAGAGAACTAGATCCCATCCAGACCAGGTACTCTTTATAGCCCGCTTTTCTGGGCAGGTACAATTGGGAGTGTTTATATCCTTCAAAGTACACTTTGAGCATAGTCCCATTAAACAGCATTATTTCTCCAATCCCTAAAAGTCAACCAAAGTTTCAAGAATGTCAGGGTCTCGTTGGTGCCCTGAAACAGGAAAAGGAGGGTTGATTAAACACACTGCAAGTTTGGCCACCTGTTTACCAGGATATGGCCGTGTAGGAGATTGATTTTTAACTCAGAGATTTATATAAATGGTTAATAAAATCTTTAACAAAAGAGAAGGGCCTATATTCTCTCTAGACCTCTCTGAGTCCAGGATAGGGTAGGGAGGCAGAAGGGTGGGCAGGCATTGCCCTTCCACTAGTACCACTTTGCTAAAACCCTAGGGTGATGTTTTTGTTCTTTTCCTGTACTCAGATCTCATTGACTAGCCTCATAGCAAAGATCCTGGAGTATTCTGATGTGGCATCCATCAAAGCCCTCCGGACCCTCCGTGCATTACGGCCACTTCGGGCTTTGTCTCGATTTGAAGGCATGCGGGTAAGACTATGGCCCTGACCTATCTCAAAATTGCTTTGAACATTTAGTAATCTTTATGCCTGCCATACCATCACCCTGATCTCCAAGACTCTCCTCCAAAGGTCGACTCTAGATCCTCCCTTCCCTGTCCATGCTGCAGTATCCTAATTCTCCTTCAAGTCCCTTTGTGAGCACCTCTTGCCTTCCCACCCCTAAATTTCACATCCAGAAACTCACCAGGTCTCAGACCTCACTGCCTCTTGTTCTTAGTGAAATGACTTTGATACGTGGCTTTACAAAACATCACTATCTCAATCTCCCCATCCTGTCTCTTGTTCTTACTGCTAGTATCTCCGGAACAGCCTCAATTCTTTATATTCCTATGGCAAATGAGCTTTTCCTTGAACACTCCATTTAAATGCAATGACACCATCTTTCTTCCAGGCCCTCAGCTTGGCATCTCACTTACCACCACTCCTGGAATACAACTCCTTTCTGACCTAGGATGTCATCAGGTCCTATAGATTTTCCCTAAATCCACCCTTTTCCTTAACCATCACTGACATCCTCCACCTCGCCTTCACTGTCTTTCCTGGGATGGACTGCTCACAAGCCTGGTCCTCATTTTAAGGGAGAAGGAGCATTTTCTAATTATACCCCTACTTTTCCTCATATTATTCCTCCACCATTGGCTCAACCTAGACATTACACCTTCAAAACTAAAATTCAGCTCTTAAAATTGACTTGTTCCTTCGTCTGAATTATATCAATAACCAATTCTCTTGCTGCTTCCAAAGACCACTGGTTCACAGTGGAAGTGGAAGCTAGCAGAGAAGGGACGATGTTTGTAAAGTTCCAGATTCTTTTGCATTTCCCCCCAGGTAGTTGTGGATGCCCTGGTGGGTGCCATCCCATCCATCTTTAACGTCCTCCTCGTCTGCCTCATCTTCTGGCTCATCTTCAGCATCATGGGCGTGAACCTCTTTGCAGGGATGTTTTGGAGATGCATCAATACCACCAATGAAGAGTTTTCTCTTGTGCCCTGGCTTACTGTGAATAACAAAAGTGATTGTAAAATGAAAAATGATACTGGCAACCTCTTCTGGGTCAACATGAAGGTCAACTTTGATAACGTTCCAATGGGTTACCTTGCACTTCTTCAGGTGGTGAGTCATAAAACCAACTGTGTCTCTTCTTCTGACTCCTGGATAAAGTGGAGGTGTCTGGGATCTTTCAGGTGATGCTCTGTAGAGATTTTGTAAGGGATAGAACTCAATGTGAATTGAGGTTATTTACTATTCCTACAGACAACCCATGAAGTTTGATTGTACAATTAGAAAAGTGTGGGCTGAGAGAGTGAAGTGATGGATCTGTCATGGTATTATGTCAGGTGATAAAACTCAGAACACGCTACCTGTACAAAGTACGTCTGGTAGAGCCACACATTCACTCTTCTACTTAATTTCAACTCTAGATAATAATTAACTAAATCCCAGGTCTGTATTGTAATGACAGATAATGTTGGTGGTAATGACAGGCAGACACTTTTATACTTTCGTTCATCTATTCACTTAGTCATCCCTCACCTTCACCCACTTATTTATTCAGTTCTCCATATAATCACTTAAACTTTAACCACACAGTTAGCCATGAGTTTCTACATTGCACCATTTATTCATGATTTCCCAAAAGAACACTCAACAGAGGAAGCAAGAAAAGGTGTCAAAACAGCTACTTAAGCAAGAATCAGTGCAGAAGGTATACAATGGACTGCAAGAATAAAGTTAGACTTTTTAAAAATAAGTGAACCAGTGACATGATCTCCAGGATTTTTATATATGTCTTTTTTGTTTTGTTTTCAATATGCAAGGTTGACTTAATTTGTTTTTTTTCTAATGATCATCATGAAATAAGAGGGTTTAAGAATTTGTCCATTCTCATCAGAAAAGAAAGGCCAGCAGAAGGTTTAATAATACCTCTCCCTTTGGGAATTTGTCTGCTGCCTGATTCAAGATTTCAGAGTAGCTACTGAGCATATAGTAGCACTGTGCTCCTCTTTGGAAGAGACAGAGATATGTCAGAACTCACTCTATAGACTCATGCTCTATGTGGAAAAACAGATAAATAGGCAGACCAAAATAGCCTGGGAATACAAGATGAGGTTTTGTCTATGCCCTGCACAAGCTGAAGGCTATATAACCCATCTCCAGACTTGAAGAATGTTAAACCTGGGCAGGAATATAGAGGTCTTCTATTACCATAGTCCCCATTTTCCAAATGAGGAATCAGCCCATTCTTACATCATGAGCATGAGGTGGAAAAGCAGTTGAGAAAATGTCAGCCCAGAGAAGGGGAATGCCTTGATCAAGGCTACAGTGTAGCCTGATAGCAGTTGGAACTAGAAGTTAGACATCTAGACACAAAATCCATGCAATATTATGGAAAGCTTCATATTTTAACACCACTGTGTTCTGAAACAACTACACAGAATCAGTTACAATGATTGTGTGAGTATTCTAGTCTCTCAAAGGTGGGTACTTTTCTCCATTTCTGTCCAAACCCTTTTTCCCTCAAGGCTCATTAGCTGGTCTCCTCTTTTACTGGGCCACCATGACTTAAGAAGGGACCAATGTAGATGAATGAGCAGACATTGAATGGCTTCTGCTTCTTGTTTCCAGGCAACCTTCAAAGGCTGGATGGACATCATGTATGCGGCTGTCGATTCCCGGGAGGTGAGTCTCCAACCACCATGTCTCCCCTGCCATGTTGCCCTGCCCACATCAGTCTGTATCTGAAAGGGAATGAAGTTAGCCTTAGTACGGGAAGAGGTGATCACCCAACAGCTCCATACTATGAACAATATCGAGCTACCCTGTGTTGGATGTTTCCCCAGGCTCCTCAGGTTGTGCCCTTGCTCACCACTGAGGAAGGAATCAGACATACCTAAAGGACTGTAAGCAAGGGCCACTCCCTGGGAAGAGAGAAGTGGCTAGAACAAAGGGGAGACTAATAGAGTGTGATATCCTGACTGGCAGGTGGAGGAGATGCTGTTGATAAAGAAGAAACTTTCTTATGAAGCAGATACTGTTGAACACCATGCCTCGTGTCCCCTCAGCCCACTGGCGGCATTAGTAGTCCCCTCCCATGCTGCATTTCCTATGTTCTGCCTGAAGATTTTCTTCAGCACTAGAGAATTTGCTCAGTAACCCCATCCCCAAGCACCAGGGATTGAATGTCTCCAGAGGCAACCCTCACCGGTAAAATGTGGAAGTCTGTGGATAAATACTGTAGCTTCCCTGTCCCTTGGTGTGGTACAATTCTGAAGTGTGTCCTCTACTGTTCCTCAGAGGGGGCCCCAGCAGTCTTGAATATAAGTTGCCTGCAGTGATGACCAGCTCAGTAACACCCATGTCATTAGCTTTTCCCTTGTTCCTGTTTATTCTCAACTTCTCAATCTTACTTCCAGGGATCACCTCCCAAATAAAGTACCTGCCCCCAAGTCCTTGTTTTAGGATTGTCTTTTAGAGTGAATTCACATTAATACACCATCCTCTTTACACTCCACCTTTGACCACAGGTAGACATGCAGCCCAAGTGGGAAGATAATGTATACATGTACCTTTACTTCATCATCTTCATCATTTTTGGTGGCTTCTTCACACTGAACCTCTTCGTTGGGGTCATAATTGACAACTTCAATCAACAAAAGAAAAAGATAAGTGGGGCTTGGGTGCTTTTGCTATAGTGGTGAATCTAATGACTCCTAATCCTTTAGGGGCCCGCAGTGCCCTGTCCCTGACCAGTCCTGACCTCATGACTAATGCCAGCACTACTCACAGTCTTTCACACTTGACAGGGAGCCCAATTTTGACCTCTAAGTCTGACATCAATCTTTGTCCCCTGATTGCAGCCCTCACCCCTACCTGGTGTCCAGGGCTACTGCTGGGAGAGTTGGCTTTCTCTTTGTGTTGGCATTCACTGGCCCTGGGTTTCCATTATTCTTCCCAGTTAGAACCAGATATGCTGGGAATGTTTCAGGTAACCCCTGGGGAAATGCAACAGATAAGGAAAGGACTCCAGCATTGAATGTCTCCGTTTGGGGCCCTGAGCTCCGAGTGCTGAGTCAGATACCACAGGGTTCCAGTGAGGTTAGAATCCCAACACTCCTTGACTTGTAAAGGAAGGCTCTTGGTGCCATGGTCACTGACTCAAATGAATAGGAACCCAACCCCAGATAATCACTCATGTTTATATTAAAATCTGGGGACACTGTTTTCTTTGAGTGGCACAAATGGCTAAGCATATTGCTCCTAATTGAAAGGTTGGTAGTCCATCCCGAGGTGCCTCAGAGGGACTAGGTGTCCACTTCCAAACACAGTCATTGAACGCCCAATGGAGTACAGTTCTGATAGGAAACACATGTGTCAAAATCAACCCTGCAAGTGGTTTGGTTTGGTTTTTTCATATCTCTGTGAGGTAGACAGTATATCATTTTAAGTGGTATAAGCCAATATCCAAGGAGCTCAGGTAGCACAGTGCTTACAAATCAGGCTGCTAACCTCAATGTTGGCAATTCGAAACTACCAGCTGTTCCGCGGGAGAAAGATGAGGCGTTCTGCTCCTGTAAAGATTTGCAGCCTCGGAAAACCTGTACAGGGTCGCTATGAGTCGGAACCGACTCCACAGTACTTAACAACAACAAGCCAATATCCAATACTCATAGGATTGTGCTAAGAGGTAAATTAAAACACTGTACAAAGCGTAAGTGTAGAGTTGAGCACAGAGTGGGTGTTAAATGTCCAATGTTACATTTTAATTTGGATTAATTATCTAATGGGTCTGACATAATACCTACAGGAAATCCTCTTCTAGGGTTCTGGGAATAAGAATCAGGCAGAACAGGTCTGTGAGAGCCCAGAGGACTCAACAAGATAACTTTAAAATAACAACAACAACAACAAAACAAGTGTCATCAGTCACCCAAGAAGATGCTGAGATCTTTCTAAAGAAGCCGAGGCCCAGAGACGGGGGCAGCCATGTCACGTTATAGAGTGAGATGAGCTAGTGATCAAGGTGGAGCAAGAAGCTGCATCCACACACTCTCTGTCTAGATTCTCATGATGGCTTCCCTGTTGTTGTTATGTGCCGTGGAGTCAGTTCCGACTCATAGCAACCCTGTACAGGGTTTCCGAGGCTGTAAATCTTTACGAGAATAGAAAGCCTCATCTTTCTCCTGTGGAACAGCTGGTAGTTTCGAACTGCTGACTTTGCGGTTCACCGCCCGATTCATAACCACTATGCTACCAGAACTTCCCTAGCACCCACAAACTCACTCATCATGCCTCCACTGAGACATTCTCCCCAAAAAACCCTTGTGTCCACTCATTTTCTAAAATCTCCTCTCAGACCCCCCAGATTTGCAGTGACTAATTTACATGAAAGAAACCCTGGACTGCTAACTACAAGGTCAGCAGTTCAAACCCACCAGATGCTCCTCAAGAAAAAGATGAAGCATTTCTGCTCCCATAAAGACTAACAGCCCCAGAAGCGTTTACAGCGTCACTATAAAGTGGAATTGACTCAATGGCAGGGGAGTAATTGACATGAATATTCTATCAAAATTGTTAATGCCATCAAGTCTATTCCAACCCACAGTAACTCTGTATAGGGCCTTCCATGGAGCAGCTGGTGAGCTTGACCACTATTGAAATTAGTAGCTTGTAAATTATGTCAGGAAGTGAAGGTAAGGGGTTGAATGAAGGAGGCTCAGAGGAACTACTGATGTGCTGTAGGCTAAGCACTGGAGTGCTAACCACAAGGTTGGCAGTTCAAACCTACCAGCTGTTCCTCAGAAACCCTACACAGGGTTACTGTGAATCAGAACTCACTGGACAGCCCTACAACAACAAAGGGATCCTAAAAAAAACCTAACACCCAGGCCTAAAGAAGAAAGGCATCTTCAATGATGGAATTTTTTGTATTATATCAGTATAGACTGTTAACTCAATTAGTAGTCCTTCAAAGACCAAGAGCCTGAGAATAAGACAATAATTAATTAGAGAGCTCCTCATTTCCAGAAATGAGTTAAGGGGATGGGTTTCCAGAATCTTTGCTCTAGAAGTCCCATGAATTGGAATGGAATAATCAAATTGGTCCAGCTTTAGGTCGTGTTCCAAAGCCTCTCAACTCTCCATCTAGAAACCATCTCTGAGATCCTGAAGAAAAGAAATAGACTTTCTTTCAGAGACCCAGGCAGGAAGTCAGAGATAGGACTCAATTTCACCTTCTCGGTTGCTTTTCATGGAACCTATACAGGATGCTTCATGATCCTGGCCTTGGAATGGAATGTCTTTGCAAAAGAGAGGAGAGGGTTGAAATGCTCCCCCTTCTCCAGGGTATTCTACTTCTGGTATCTCTTGGGACTCTTACTGTTTAAGTAACAGTGATGTGTATTATCCTCTCCTGCACCTAGGGGGCCAGGACATCTTCATGACAGAGGAGCAGAAGAAGTATTACAATGCTATGAAGAAGCTGGGATCTAAGAAGCCTCAGAAGCCCATCCCACGGCCCTTGGTGAGCTTCCCTGTAGCAGAATTAGTCTTTGAATCCAACCCCCAACCATTGTCTGTGCTTTGTAAGGGCCTGGCCAGGTTCCCAGGGGAGAAAGGGATGTGATTGAGTTTAGAATGGTGATTGTTTCCAAGTCCAAGAAATGAGGTAATTCTAGTCTTGTGGAGTAAACATGCCTATTCTGTTGCTACTGTTAAGTGTTGCTGAGTCGGTACCGACTCATAGAGACCCTGTATAGGATTTCCGAGGTGCAGCTGGTGAGTTTGAATCACTGACCTTACAGTCCAGCACATTAACTCACAGCACCACACCAGGACTCCATACCTACTATAGGTGTTCCAAATAAACATGTTTGAGTAAGTACCAAGTTCCCCAGCAGTTTTAGATTTCAAGCCAAAAATTGGAAACAGATCAAACCAAATGATAATGAAGGTGGTTAGAGCCTGAGATGAAACATTTGTATGGATTAATTTATAGGCTATTTTGCAGTGGTTCTTCAGCCTCACCCCTATATTCAACCCAATGCCTATAGGTACACAGAGAGGAAATGGTCAAAACCCAAACCCCCTAGTACCTAGACCCCATCATGAACACATGACCCAATAAGAACCAAGCCTCATTTCACTTTGGAGTTTAAAGAGTGACCAAAAAGTAGCATCAATCCCTATTTTAACTACTTATTAAAAGACCCCCAGAAAAATGCCACACCCAGACCATATATCTCCTTGAAACAGGGTGGGCTGCATTTCACAAAGAGTTTCTGGAAAGGACTCTATCTTTAAACAACGGTATGGACTTCATGGTAGAAATCAAATCACTTTAATAGAAATCGGATGGTTGGGTATAAAGACCTATAGCAAAATCACCATCCCTCCTAATTAAATCACAACAAACATCCCCCCAGATTGGCACTGGGGCTAGTCCTCTACATGGGGAAGGGAAGTGAAACCTCATAGCTCAACTCTGTTCGTAAGATTCACTATGCCTTTGAAAAGGAGATGTATTACTAATAACTATGAACACTGTGCTAGCCTTAGTGGAAAAGCATAGCTCTCTCCTTAGTACTCTGGCCCAAGCATAGAAAATACTCTTCCCTTGGCATAATCCAGAATATCTAAACAATAGTTTTGAAGTCTTAGGGATGCCAACAGCAAAACAAGCAGAGCAGTTCCCAAAAAGCAACTGCATAATGGCTGCTCTCCAAGACCCATAGGTCTTGGCCCATCTTAGCGCTTGGTTGTCATCCATGTAACAGGAACTGTCCTGGCCACCCACCATTTATGGCACACACCTTGAAATCTGCCCTCCTCAAAGTCTAAAGCCAAAGAGAAACTCAAGGGAAAAAGTAGATCCCACTTCTACCTAAGACTAACCTTCCCAGTCCCAGCATCCTTTTAACCAGACAATTGGCACCAGAGTACTCACCCCCCGCTCCCTTCCACTTAGGAGTTCCAAAAAGGTCAAGTTGTTCAGTAGGCATAACATTGGCAAAGGAGTTCAGTCCCATTGGGCACGTGATTTCCATTTCATGGCAGGACCAACCTAGACCATCAGGGGACCCAAAACACACACACCAGTTCCCACCTCTGGTAAAGCCCAAGTTCTAATGTTTCTTATGTTTTACCCATACTAAAGACTAAGGGTTCCATGAGAGGTTATGGAGTATCACATTGCCAATCACTCACTTCATCATCTCTAAGAGCACCAAGCATTGTAAAGGTGTGTTCCCTACCCACAGGATAAGCCAAGAGCATCCAGAAAGTGGCTCCATTCTGAATAACTAAGACAAACCATACATCCAGACACTTAACAATGCTATCCTCTACTCTATTTAATTAGCAGTCAGGTGACCATGAATGGACCTCTACTTTTTTCACCATCTTCAGTGATGACACACAAGGGATTTTTGGCACAAGAATCTCTTCTCACCCTATGAAAGACATCATGAACAGTAGTTATGCATGGACCCTAGCCCACTTGAGTTTTATTCTTTGCTCTAACACAGCTAGAGTAGCTCCCCATGCCCTTGTAGGCATAAGGCAATGACCAGACTCTGTCCCAGCACTTACCTTCTCAACAACTTCCGGGAGCTCTCTGCTAGGACTCAAGACAGATTTACATTCCCCTCCTCTCCCTTCATAGCCACTCATGCAGAGCCTTGCACACAGTGCAAATTCAGTAAATGTCCCTTGCTCAGAATTAAATTTCATCAAACCTAGTTGTTGTTGCTGTGTGCCATTGAATAGACTTTGATTCTTAGTTGACCCTATGTGACAAAATAGAGTGGACCCATAGGGTTTTCTAGACTGGAATCTTTGGGTGGTTTTATAGTTTTATTTGAGGTATCACGAATTTAGAGCTTTCCATTGTGTCATCCATTCTTTGAGCTACCTACTGAGTATCTATTGTGTGCCAGGCACTCTGCAGAAATCAAGAGAACTGTGAACAAGAAGGTCAAAGCTTCTGTCCTCACAGAGACTATAGTTCAGCAAGGGAGACAAGTAATCACACATTAATTCACAGGGAAACATAATAAAATGTATTGAGAGTACACAAGCTAGTCTTTGGGTTCTCAATGAGGACAGAACTCATTGAGGGTCAGGGCTGAGATGTGAAAAATAGTAGATTATGGGGGAACTATCATTCTAGGTAGAGCATAAACATGTGTTATGCTAAGGTGTTCAGTGGCTGAAGTTCAAAATCTATGGCAGGATTTCGCAACATCAGCATTGACGACATTTTAGGCCAGATAATTCTTTGTTGTTGAAGGCTGTGCTCTGCATTGTAGGATTTTTAGCAGCATTCTTGGCCTTAGCCAACTAGATGTCAGTAGCACACCACCATCCCCCATCCCCAGTTGTGACAACCAACAATGTCTCCAAACTTTGTCAAATATCCCCTAGGGTGGGGCAAAATTTACCTTGGATTAAGAATCACCAAAGTATAGTATTAGAAGTGAGGATAATGTTTATTCTTAGAAGGGGGATAATGACATCTAGTGTTCTGGAATAGCCATTTCTTGATCTGGGTGTTGGTTGTACGAATGTGTTCATTTTGTGAAATTCATTGTGCTATATACCCTTATAATTTGTGTACTGTTCTATATGAATGTTTTACTCCAATAAAACTTTTCTAAGTCCCTATATGTAGCAAAACCAGCGAGCCTACCATCCCTTCTAAGAATAAAATATTTGAACAGGCCAGTGGCTGGAGGACTGTGAGAGAGGCCAAAAACTTCCTTTATCATATAGAAAATTGCCTCTATTGATGAGCGTAAAATAATCATTTCCAAATTTTTAAAACATCAGTCTAGTGCCTATGTAGAAAACAGGTCAGTGAGGATGGGAATGGCAAGAATTCTATTGTGAATCTTTTGACTGGCCATTTGAGACATCCAGGTGAGAAGTGGTGATGGTTTCAACTAGTGTGTACAATAAATAGAAATAACTTGATTTGAAAAATATTTAGATTAAATCATAAGAAGGATGTTGTAGTTTGGATGTGTGTGCTTTGGAGATAGGGCAATGCCATGAGCAATTGTGTGGTGGTGGAGCCGTCCTAAGAAAGCAGATTTTAGTGATTTGCTCAATATGTATAAATTGCTTGTGAGAAGTCAAAGTGGAAGTGTTAAGAAAGCAGTTGCATATAAGATTTATAGCTCAAAAGAGAAGCCTAAAATCAAAGGTATGCATATGGTACCTGCAATCAAGAGGGTAACTGAAGAGATTGCCAAAGGAGGAATAAAGGGATGAAAAGCCAAAGGAGCCGAGACTGAGTCTGAGTAACTGTAATATCTAAAGATTAGGTAAAGGAGACAAAGAGCATATTGAATGGCATGACAAGGTATGTTGCAGTAGTTTGAGAAGTGAATGGGAGACCTTATTTGTTTGCATCTCTTTCAAGAAATTTAGCTGTGAGAGGAATACTAAGTCATTCAAGCTTTTACTAAGGAGCTGAGAGACAAAGAATCATCCATGTGGATATGGCTAAGTCATAGCCATGAGCCACACTTACCAGTATTGAAGCAGAAAGATCTCAAGGTTGGATGGTGATAGCAATAAGGAGTAAGTGAAGATGGGCTAGCTTGGTGTTAAGAGATTCAATGACAGGCGAGTTTTACAAGGTGCAAAAAAAGCAAAGGTCTGGAAGTAGCAGTGGAACACAAGAAGGACCTCAGAACTGCCCTCCAGCCTTAGAGTATGTGGAGTTGGGGAGAATAAGAAGCCAATGGATCATGACTGTGAGCTCTATAGTGCTGTGGAGAAAAGGGTTTGAGAGGAAGGGTAGAGAAGGGTTGGAATTAAGGGCTTATAGCAATAAGATGTTAACTAAATGGATACTAAAAACATTTTTAGAACAGTACAAGAAGCCAGACCTAAATGATCCTTTGATTATCTAGATCATTCTGCATCCCTCCAAGAATGTTAAGGACCAAGGTCTGCCCCCATGTTGCATTCTTGAACTTACTTAGGCATCTGTGTGCAGCCAGTCCTAGGAATGAGAAGAGATTATTTCCAGGAATGAGCTACACCATTCATTTCCTCTAACCTCAGCAAAGTAGTTCAAATAAGTAATTCTACATTTCTTGAACTCTTGAACCCCTGCTACATGCAGAGAGTACTATTGTTGTTGTTGTTAAGTGCTGTCAAGTCAGTTCCAACCCATAGAGACCCTGAACAGGATTTCCAAGGCTGTAAATCTTTACAGGAGTAGAAAGCCTCATCTTTCTCCCGCGGAACAGCTGGTAGTTTCTAATGCTGACCTTGCTGTTCACAGCCCAATTCATAACCCCTATGCTACCAGAGCTCCTTTAATACATGGTCTCTGTCCTCAAAGAACTCATTGATTGTCTAGTAGAGAAGAAAAGAAGCATACAAAAATGCTTAAACTCAAGACTGACGCTATAAAGTTTGTGAGTACTCAAAGAGGAGATACGGCAGTGTGGTGTGATGTGATTAAGAAAAACTCCCTGAAGGAAATGGGACTTGCAAAAGATTGATCACTTAAGACTATTGGAATTTAGCTAAGAGAGGGGATTGGAAGAGCAATGCAAGTGGAGGGAAGAGCATGGTGAAAGGTATACTGCAGTGACTCCAAGAAACTGGGAGAGTAGATAACAACTTGAAAGGTAGCAATGAAGTAGAATCAAGTACGTAAAATGGTGGAAGAGGTAAGGACAGATTTGGCTTCTGTTCAGATGTAGAGTGAGAAAGACAAAAGAGACTTATAGCCCATTCAGATATAATTCATTCTCTCCAAATGCCTGATTTCTGTTGAGAGGCCCTGATACCACTATCTCTTGTTTTCACAGAACAAATACCAAGGTTTCATCTTTGACATTGTAAACAGACAAGCTTTTGATATCATCATCATGGTCCTCATCTGCCTCAACATGGTCACTATGATGGTGGAAACTGATGATCAGAGTGAAGAAAAGACAAAAATCCTTAACAAAATCAACCAGTTCTTTGTGGCTGTCTTCACTTGCGAGTGTGTCATGAAGATATTTGCCCTGAGGCAATACTATTTCACCAATGGCTGGAATGTATTTGACTTCATTGTAGTGGTTCTCTCCATTGTGAGTAAGTAAACACCACATACGGTGGGAAAGCCCAACCTGCACTTTGGATACTCTTTTCAAAACTAAAGGGGTAATCAACAAACTTTTTAATACACATTATATGTTAGATTAGCTCCGTGTTTGCTGTTGATGTCCAGGGCTTTCATTGGTCTTTGCTATGTTGTCATGAGTATTTTCCGGCATCTGTGTGCACGGTCTATGGTCAGCCCTTGGGGACTGACAGCAAAGACCCTAAAAGTATAAAATGATGACGTTTCCAGTTGCCTTGCCTTAATACTCTCCAAAAAAGAGGATAGGAGATATAAGATAAATACAAAAAGACTTTCTGAAAAAAAGAAGTGGTTTTCCAACAGAGTGAAAAAAGACTAAGAGATTGTTCAAACCATTGTTAAGCTGAGGGTCTGGAGTTAAATTTCTATATAACTGGATAGTCTAGTCTGAGTGTTGTTGGATGGCAAGCCCAGCATTTGAGAGAAAATGAGAGTCACACTGTTGTGGGGAATGTTGTGGTTGTTATTTAGTGCAGTTGCATTGGTTCTGATTCATAGTGACCGTGTACAGGGTTTCCAAGGAGCTACTGGTGGGTTTGGACCACTGACCTTGTGGTTAGCACTCCAGGGCTTATCCCACAGCCACCAGAAATGAGCATTTAATAAATTCTGAGTACTGGGCTAGCCTTCATGAAACCTCACAGAAGCCCAAGGAAGGACAGTTATCTTCATTATATGCATTTTAAACTGAGCTTCAGAAAATGAAGTGCAAAGTTGAGGTATTTTTGTTAATTGCCATCAAGTTGCTTCCGACTCATAGCAACCCTATGTACAACAGAACAAAACACTGCCCAGTCCTGTATCATCTTCACAATTCTGTTTATTTTTGTTTAAGTTCATTGTTGTTGCCACTGTAGCAATTTATCTTCTTGAGGGTCTTCCTCTGTTGTGCTGACCAAACATGATGTTCTTCTCCAGGAACTGGTCCTTACTGACAACATAGTCAGATTACAAAAGTCGAAGACTCACCATCACTCCTTCGAAGGAGCTGTATTTCTTCCAAACAGATTTGCTCATTATTCTGTAAGACCATGGTATATTAAAAATGGTATGTCCGTGGTATGTTCAAAATTATTCACCAAAACCATAATTCAAATGCATTGATTATTTTTTTAATTCATCATCCAGATTTCTTATGCATATGGGATGATTGAAAATACCATGACTTTAGTAAGGTGTACTTAGTGCTGCAAAGTGACATCTTTGCTCTTTAACACATTAATGCTCTTTAGCAGCAAATTTGCCTAATGCAATACGTCGTTTGATTTTTTTGACTGCTGCATCCATGAGTGTTCATTGTGGATTCATTAAGTAAAATGAAGTCTTTGACAACTTCAGTCTTCTATTCATTTATTATGGCATTATTTATTAGTCCAGTCATGAAGATTTTTGTTTTCTTTACATTGAGGTGCAATCTGTAGTAAAGGCTGTAGTATTTGATCTTCTTTACACTGAGGTGAAATCTGTATAGTAAAGGCTGTAGTATTTGATCTTCTTTACATTGAGGTGCAATCTGTATAGTAAAGGCTGTAGTATTTGATCGTCATCAATTAGTCCTTCAAGCCTTCTGTGCTTCCAGTAAGCTAGGTTGTGTCAGCTGCATATCACAGATTGTTGATGAGTCTTCCTCAAATCCTGAGACCACATTCGTCTTCATAGAGTATTTGCTCAGCATACAGTTTAAATAATTAAGGTAAACACTGACACACCCTTCCTGATTTTAAACCATTCAGTATCCTCTTGTTCTTGTTCAAATGACTGTCTCTTGATATATATATATATATATACACACAAGTTCTTCATGAGCACAGTTATGTGTTCTGAAATACCCTTCATCACAATTTTATTTGTAGCTTGTCATGATACACACAGTCAAATGCCTTTGCTAATCAAAATATTACAAATAAACATCTTTCTGATATTCTCTACTTCCAGTCAAGATTCACTAATGTCAGCAATGATAGCTCTCTTTCCACATCCTCTTCTGAATCTAGCTTGATTTATTGCAAGTTCCTATCAAAGTACCTCTGCAACCACTTATGAATTATGTTCACTAAAATTTTACTTGCTTGAGTTATTAATGACATTGTTCAAAGATTTCTGTTAACTATCTTTTGTTTTGTTGTTGTTAGGTACCATCAAGTTGGTACCAACTCATAGTGACCTTATGCACAAGAGAACGAAACATTGCCTGGCCCTGTGCCAAACAAAATCATTGCTACGCTTGAATCCGTGTCTTCCTGCCACAATGCCAGTCCATCTCACTGGGGGTCTCCTCTCTTTCACTGATCCTCCACTCTACCAAGCATGATGTACTTCTCCAGAAACTAGTCTCTCCTGATAATATGTCCAAGGTCTGGTCACCCTGGCCTCTAAGAAGCATTCTGTCTGTACTTATATCTACACAGATTTGTTTATGCTTTTGGCAATCCATGGTACTTTTAATATTATCCTCTAATACCATAATTCAAATAACATCCATTTTTCTATGGGTTTCTTTATTCACAACTTTCACATGCTTATGAGGTTATTGAAAACACCATGGCTTGGGTCAGGTGCAACTTAGTCCTCAACACTTTAAATAGGTTTTGTGTAGCTGATTTGCCTAATGCAATACATCATCATATGCATGAAAATGAAATCTTTAACAACTTCAGTCTTTTCTTCATTTAACATGCTATTTATTGGTCCAGTGGTGAGGATTATATGTTTTCTTTACATTGATTGAGGTACAACCCATAACAAAGGCTGTGGTATTTGATCTTCATCAGTAAGTATTTTAAATCCTCTTATCTTTCAGCAAGCAAGCTGCATATCACAGGGTTTTGTTTTTTTGTTTGTTTGTTTGTTTGTTTGGGGGGGGCTTTTTTAAGCTTTTATTGTGAATTGAGTGCTAGTTTACATGGGAGAACATCGGTTTTGCACTCATCCTATCATATTTTCTTTCATTGCAATGAATACAATCCCCTCCAATCATCATCATTTAACAGAACTTAATTCTATTCACTTAGTTTTTTGTTTTGTTTTGTTTTGATGTACACAACAACACTCAGAAATATATAATCATTTAAACAACAAAAGGGCACATTCTACAAGCCTGCCTCCTGGCCTCCTAGCCTCTCTCTTTCCATGAGTCTAGAGTCCTCAGATGCTCTCTCTCCAGGCCATCATCTCTGCTTCTTTGGCTAGGGTCCATATTCTGTTCATGCTCATCTTCCTTGATGGTCCTAGGGTCGGTTCTCTATTCCTGGAATGTAAGATTAACTACTCCCCCCCTTTATGATACAAAACTTCTACCTTTACTGTTGTGACAATTATAATTAGTCATGATAACAGTTACTATTGAATCAAAAGAGTCCTATATCCCCATCTCCTTGCACCAGACCTGTGTAGAGAAGATGAAAACTATTCAGTGGAGATACTACTTTTCCCTGCAACTAAACTCTGTCTTAAAAACTTGTAAACCAGCCACTTCATGCCTTTATAGCCCCACCACCATTACTTTAGGTAGTTAATGTCTAATTTGCCCATCCCTATCAACCCTGTATACCAAGGGAATGTGGTTGATCCTTGATGTGAAGACTCCTTCCCTCTCGGTTGGTATATTAAACTAATATATCCATGAATATAGGTCAAGTGCATCAAATTACAGCAATTTATACTTGCTTCATTTAACAAATTTATCTTCCTCTAGTCGAGTTCTGGTCATCAAGCCATCAAAGCCAGATCAAATGGCTCTTATCTGCAATTTTGGGTATTCTTGTGTGTCTTTCCTCACACTTCATATAAGCTGGACACTTCACTCTAAGCTCTAGCCCTCTGTGGCTAGGTCAGTGTCAGTGGGCTCAGGATTTTCCTAGTCTCCCCAAACTTTGAACCTACCAGCCCTTCCTCTTCTCTCTCTCATCTCAAAGTTGACAGGACTATGGAACATGGTCACACTCAGCACATGTCTTCAATGACTTTTCTTCTACTTCCACTCACCAGGAGACCAATGCAGTCACCAGTAAGATTATATGCCTGCTCATGACTTTCCTTTCATTTTTGGTCTTGGAGGGGAGTTTATCCTGAAGGGACTTGATTGCTTGTCTTGATGGCTACCAAGTGAACAGCTTGCTTGTTCTTGTAATAGCCAATCAGGCTGCCATTTCTGATTATCTGCTGTTTTTATCTGCTGATCTTTATTTCAAGAAGTATCTTCTGTCCCTCTGTTGCTCTGGGTTGGTCTGCATGTCCTTTCAAGTGGGAATTCCCCACTTGAAAGTTCAGAAAGGAGCACTTGATTCCTACTAAGGTCCTATACATTCCAAAGGCTCTGCAAGAAGCCTATTTCACTGGGCAAGTTCTAGAACTCCTTTTAGGTATTCCAATCAGCTATAGTCTGAAGACAGGCTTACAAGCTTTCTGTAATCATGGTTCCCAATAGTCCTTTCTCTCGCACTCAAGTGTCTGTTTTACAGTAATAGGAAACCAATATCCATATAACAGTCAAGCATCTTAATATTATTTCCTCTCTTTCACCCATTCAGATTATGCCCCAATCCCTGTATCACAGAGCCCTGTTGTTCTAAGGCTGAGCATCCATCATTATTTACCTCGGTCCCATTTAGCCCATTCAAACCTGCCTAAATGTTCCCCTATCTACAGTGTACTTCCATACCCCTCCCCCTTCTTGTATATTTCTCTCCCCAACATCAAAATTATTATGTGTCTATCCCCTGACCTGTGCTCTATGGTCCCCTCCCTCCCACCCCTGGTAACAAATTTTTTTGTTGTTGTTTTTTAGTATAGGTATGTTTTCTTAAGCTTTTACAATAATTGTTTTATGCAATATTTGTCCTTTTGTGCCAACTAATTTCACTCAGCATATTGTCCTCAAGGTTCATCCATGGTATGCGATGGTTTACAGCTTCCTTGTTATTCTTCAGGGTAGCATAATATTCCAGTGTGT